TTGAATCAGTGTACCAGCCCAGTCTCTCATAAACCCAGCCGGAAGAGAAGACGCGTTTGTGGCATCGACGGTCGCGTGATCGTTCTTGTTGAATTGGCTGGCCTTCTGCCTGAGATGCGAGGGCTCAAGGCACAATCGCGTTTGTTATGTCGTTAACCATTGATTAAGCAACAAAATACGGGCCTGAATACTGAAGAATGTCATCCCCTTGGGTTACATACGTTCTATCGCACAATATTAATAAGGTAAAAGCCAGAAAGTTGGAATATTATTATCCTAACCCTTCTATGGTAAATTATAGGGTATCCTACCCTGAAACCATATTCCAACTTTCTGGAGTTCCCTGTATAGCCCAGCGACCTATGCTAAACACTGAGGCCCCTACCGTAATGCCCCTACAGTATACTACAGCGGTTGCTGCCGTATCTATGGCGGGCTCGTTGGCTCATGCTGCCAAACACGGGAATCCGAAACCTCAAATCCTAAACCCGTGAACCACTAGACCCTACTCCCTCAATCCCCAAGACTCCACTGAAAATGGGGGACCCTAATATGGGCCCCGAAGCAGCAGGATCCTTTTTAAGGACCCCAAAATCAGGTCCACCTAATTTTCGGAAACTCTAAACCCTTATAGTGTCCCTGAAAGGAACCCTTGTAGTACCCTTGTAGTAGCCCTTAATTTTCGGAAACTCCCACATTGCCGAGGTGCAGGAGGCAGTTATCCTTGGCGGTCTTTTTGACCTGCTCGGGCTTCGTATGAGCTTGCGGATATAATTCCTGCATTGCCCATATGGGAATTCTTGTAAAATGTGTATTATGGGTAATGCAGGATTTTATATCATCAACCGTATGAGCTTGCGCTGTGGCTTGTGGGCCTAGTTTTTGTGCTTCAGGCATGAGTTCGTACCCTGCTAGTAGCAGTAGCCGCTCCAAAAATGTTTCTGAGTCTTGGTTGCCGAATCCTCAAGCCCCCCAAAATGTAAACTTTCAATTTTTAAGAGGGGTTCATTATCCAAAAAAAGGTGAAAAATTAAATTTTTAAGAGGGATTCATTATACAAAAAAAAAATTTGAAAGTTCAATTTTTAAGAGGGGCTCATTATCAACAACCCTGAAACCCAAGCTATGAACTCCAGCCTTGGCTTTGGGACTTTCTGCCTCGGCCGACACCGTGGCAACCTGGAAGACGGGCGCGGAGAGTCGGCGAAGAGAGGGGTTGAAGAATTAGGGGGTTTAGGGTGTTTAGGGTTTAGCGTAGGGGGTTTAGGGTGCTTAGGGTGTGGTGTAGGGGGTTTAGGGGGTTTAGGGTGTTTAAGGTGTTTGGGGTGTGGTGTAGGAGGTTTAGGGGGTTTAGGGTGTTTAGGGTGTAGTGTAGGGGGTTCAGGGGGTTTAGGGTGTTTCGGGTTTAGTGTAGGGGGGTTCAGGGGGTTTAGGGTGTTTCGGGTTTAGTGTAGGGGGGTTCAGGGGGTTTAGGGTGTTTCGGGTTTAGTGTAGGGGGCTTAGGGGGTTTAGGGTGTTTCGGGTTTAGTGTATGGTTTAGGGGGTTTAGGGTGTTTCGGGTTTAGTGTAGGGGGGTTCAGGGGGTTTAGGGTGATTCGGGTTTAGGGTGTTTAGGGGGTTGATTGTGTTCAGGGTGTTTAGGGTGTTTAGGGTTTAGTATAGGGTGTTTAGGGGGTTTAGGGTGTTTCGAGTTTAGAGTTTAGGGTGTTTAGGGGGTTGAGCGTGTTTAGTGTGTTTAGGGTTTGGCACCGGGGGTTTAGGGGTTTTCGGGTATAGGATTTAGGGGATTCCTCTTAAGGGGTTCTGTGAGGGTTTAGGCTTCCTTAAAGAGGGGTACTCTGAAGGGTGTCTATACGGGTTTAGGGCTTGAGGGTTCGGCTTTGGTCTCAGAGTTTCGGTTTATACAAACCCCAAACTTTAGGTTTTATAGTCTGCGGCTTAGCCTTTGGGTTTTGGGCACAAGGCGGCTTATGTATCGGGTTTGAGGAACAACAGCCCCTGGAAACACAGATCGGAATGCAAGGTATTGCAGGGTTTAAGGTCTAGGATTTGGGGCTGGGGAAGGTTTTAAGACTCCTGGTTTTTCAGGGGTAGCTCTCAGATCACTTGAAGCCATCATGGCTTCTTGGTACCTCTGCCACTTGGCGGCAGCTGCAGCTCTGGCAGCTCTTCCATACTCGAGTTCGGCTTCCCTTTCGTAGCCGCTTTTCTCAGCAAGCTTTCTGGCTTTGTGGTAACGCCCGTCTGTGTATGTGTCCCGTCGTGCGCCAAGCTGGGCCTCGGCGGGGGAAGCCGGCTCATACTTGGGGCAACTTCTTCGAGGCATTCTTCTTGGCGCCAGGCTTCTGAGCAGCCTTGAGCTTCTTGCTCTCAGCCTTTGGCTTTTTGGGCCAAGGGTCCGTCCAGCTACCTAGTCATCGCTGATGGCTCCAAGATGCTGCCCGACTAGTACTACGGTCGAAGATATAAATCCTGCATTACCCAAAACGAGGTATATACCTCAATTCGCATAGTATAAGGTCATTAAGGTAATGCAGAATTTTGATCATCAACCGTATCACCCTAAACATCCCTAAACCCTGGCCATAACCCTAAACTTAAACCCTAGGGTTCAGGGTACGACTGTTCCGAGTTGGACCCCGGCCTGGCAGGGGGTTCCTGGAGATTCTTAAACCGTGGGGTTTAGGGTTTAGGGTTTTGGGAGATTCTTTAGACCGTAGCTTCTTGCCCTAGCCTAGATCCTAAATATCTTGGGCTCTAAAGTCTAAAATCTGAAACCTAAAAACATCACCTACTTTGGGCATGTGAGTCGTAGTGAACCAATCCAAGCAGCACTGCAGGGAGCCAGCACAAGGGCGAGTACAAGCACTCGGCGGAGCAGCGATGACGTCATTGTTGTACGGTCGCTGCTTCAGAGACGTCTACTGGCCGCAAAGCCCTCTCAACACAGGAAGCAGGAACGAGTTAACGGTCCTTATGCCTTACGCATAAAGTCTGACGTGAAATTAAGCTGTCGTTCTCTACATACTGCACTTACAATCTTGCTGATAAACAATTTAAGCCAGCTTTTCGATTATCCTTCCAATCCAATCCCAGACCCGTGCAGAATTGCAGCCATAGAAACTCTTAGCCGCAGACCCTACAGGCATAGCGAAGCCTTGAACCCTGGGGAGCCGTGTGGAAGTCTTGGGCATCGAACCCATTCAACACACGTTCCGGCTTGCGGCTTCAAACTGTCGGGCCGAAACAGCGATCAAGGGAAGGGTTTAGGGCCCCTATGAGGGTTACTATAGGGTTTAGGCATCCTTTAAGGGAGGGTTCTAGGGTTTATAGGGGTTAATTAGGTTTTTGGGGGTTTAGGATTCAAGGTTTGCGGTTGCGGCTGTAGGGTTTCGGGCTTGGGGTTTAGGGTTTGTCAGCCTACTCGGAGGGTTTGGGATGCAAGATTGGGTGTCGGGGCATGGGTAAGGCTCTAGGGGTTTGTTTGGGGTTTGATGATGTAGGACATAAGAACAAAGGTTCATGGTTTGGAGTTTGGGATTTCAGGGTTAGGGTTCATAAGAGTCCGTGCTGTGGGTTAAGGCCATGGCATCGGCTAAACCCTAAACCGTTAAATCATGGTTGATTGGGAAACCAGGAGCCTTAACGCCACAGGGTGGAAAGGGATCCTGCAGCCAAACCCTCTTAGAAGTTCCTAGAAGGCCAGTAACCTAGAGACCTAGATGCTAGGATCTTCTAGATTCTAGATTACCAAAAGTTTGTCTACGGTACAGGAAACAGAAAGTCACCATGTGCATCCATGGCCAGGCTGGGGCACGCAAACCTGCACCAATACTGCTGTTACTACTGCAGGGTTTAGCGTCAAACGTTCAGGTGTTCACCTGTTGTCAATGCACGTCGGATTTTTCTGCCAGGCGCCACGCCTAACACGATAGATGGACTACGTACAGGATTGAGGGAGGTAAGAGGAGTTGCAAGTAAGGCTGACACCAAGGATTGCGATGTAAACCCATATTATAAGGACCTCAAAATGAGCCAGGGGTTTCTCCTACATGAGCTCGGGGGGTCAATGATGTATCGAAGCCGGGAGACTTGGCGCAATGGCCGGAGAAGCATGTGCCAACAATGTTCTCAACCCCATAGACTCTAAGGCCATGTTAATGATGGGGGAAATCAACACTACAAGGAACCAAAATTCGCACACCCATCCACACACACACACACACACCTCGATGATAAAGGAGGTAATCAACGATGTTACATAGTTCGTCAGAAACAATATCTGTGCATATCTATATGTATATATATATATATATATATGTATTTATATATATATATATATATACGGGTAGTTGTCAAAATTATGGTCCCTTTTTGGGTACCCTAAATATTAGGTGCCGTATTATAATAGGACCCAAAAAGGGACCATAATTTTGACAACCACCCGTATATGTGTTAACATATCCTCAACCAGGAGTTGAAGCGAGCTGCCAGCTCTACAAGCTCGTAGAGCACATTCAACTCAACCTATAGACCCAAATTACCCTAATCCCCTAAACCCTAACCTTTAAACCGTAAACCCTAAATCCCAAACCGTAACCCTAAACCCTAAACCCTAATCCCTCAGGTTTGTGGTGGCTTAAGGCGAGACCCTGCAGGGCCTATTTAGGGCCCCACCTTATGCCTACCCACTGAGCACGGAGCTTGAAGAAACTCATCCCGGCTATGAGCTCCTTCTGGCATAAGAGAACCGGTAAGCCTATTGTCTATTCCGCCGTAGGGTTGGCCTTTTCCCTCTTGCTCCCTTTACATAATCACCGCAAATCCTTTACCCCCTGGGCCCTCACAAACCCAAACCCAGAACCCTGAACCCGAGTTCCTGGCCCTATCGTTCCAAGTCTGCAAAAAATAGTACCTACCTCGGGCTCTAAAGCCGATAATTAGGAAGTGCCGACTTTGGGCTATTTGGAGCCCCAGGGTAGGCGCCCCTGAGCCAGGCACCTTGTACTTCTCATACCTTTCCCAAGGATCCTTGCCCACCTTTCGCGGGTTCGCCTGCGCAGTCTTCTTTAAAGGAAGGTTTAGGGTTGAGGGTTGAGGGTTTAAGGTTGAGGATTTAGGGTTGAGGGTTTGGGGTTGAGGGTTTAGGGTCGATCGTTTAGGGTTTAGGGCTGGGCTTAGGATCTCGACTTTGCAGCTTTAGCGCTCAGGATGCCCAGGGTTTCGAGTTTAAGGGGCCGCGACGGCCGTTCTTCTATATCTGGAGTTGTAACGGCTGAACAGCTGGCAGGGCAGGGGAGGTGCAGTGGTAACGCGTGTGTAAAAGGGACTTACCAGCACATGTGGAAATTTCAACGGATATAAACCATACTACATCCGTGGCTCATGGCGTGTGCCAGCCCTCCACATAGTTAAAACTTGTCACCCTACAGAGTTTAGGTCCGGTTAGATTGAGTTTGCTCGCTCATCTGGCTTCATGAGTGGGAAAGGATTGAAGTTTGGCTCGCTCATCTGGCTACATGCGTGGGAAAGGATTGAAGCCCCTGACGTCTTGATTGAGACCGACTGAAGCAGCAACAAATTTTGGACACGAGTTAACCCTAAACCCTAAACCAGGTAATTAAAACCGTAAACCCAACTCCTAACCCCGAAGACTTGCCTCAAGCAGAACCCCAGTTCCATACTATAGGGACCTTGATGCACGCCCAGCGGAAAATTTTGGAGTTCACGTAGTATGGGCTCTTGGCTAGACTCTCATACACAGCAGTCGCAACAGGACTGTAAGGCAATACTGGTCCTAATTGTTCCGAGCTCTGTGTTAGTTTTGTGGCCCCGCTCTACTGGTACTGCCTTGCAGTCACGCAGTAACGAGTCGGTGTGTAAGGAGCGCGGTAAGTAGGATAACCAGAAAGTGGCACCCGGAAAACCGATGCATGCTATCTCAGCATGAGTAGAGTCCCTATCAACATAGTTTGTGCTCCTGTGGATGTCCATCACAGTTGTATGTGTGTATGTATACAGACATGTATCTGTACGTATAAGTATAAGCATATGCATGGACATATGTGTATAAAAACATATGTCTAGACATAAACAAATAGACAAATAAATAAACACACATATATATATATATACACATTTATATATTCATATTTATCTATACGCACATAAACATGCGTAGAATACCTGTCGCTATGCCAGTTTTTTTGCTTGCTTCAATCCTTGTATATAAACTCTACTGGTTTCTAGTTCTTTATGTACTTGTTGGCATGTCAGCTTCCTTGCTTCATTGCTTGCTTGCTTGCGTGCCTGGTTGTTTGTTTGTTTGTTCGTTGGCTCATGTTTTGAGACCCCCGTGTTTAGCCATAGGCCCCAAAGTAGTTCCCTTTTTGGGATTACCTTATAGGATTCTATATACGAACCCCCCAAAAGGAACTACTTTGGGGCCTTAGGGTAGCTAGGTGGACCCCTAGCCTATAATGGGCTATATCATGGGGATATAGTAGCTATATTAAGGGTATATTCCTAGGGGTCCTTATTAAGGGTGCCCCCTTTTACCCTTGAAGCAGAGTGTGATATGAAGGTCTGGGCAATCAAGAGCAACTATCCCCTATACTTTGCTGAACTACACCATACAGCCCCGGCCACAAGTCTTAGGGCCCTTACACTACTTTGGGGCCTTAAAGGGAACTCCAGAAAGTTGGAATATGGTTTCAGGGTAATTAGGATACCATATAAGTTACCATAAAGGGTTTAGGATAACCATATTCCAACTTTCTGGCCTTTACCTTAGGGTAGCTTACTATGTCAGCCCTGTCGTGGCCGCCAGCGTAGCCTGCTGGAAGATGACGGGCAGATCGTCGCCTGCAGGGTTTTGTCAGAGAGCCCAATACCCCTTAACTCAGGAATATAGCTGAAGGCCTTCTTAAAGGGTTCCTTAAAAAGGGATCTATAAGGGTTCTATAAGGGAATTAGGGAATGTAGCTTAAATCATAGTATGAAGCCCTTTTGTTAATTTAAGCCATATTCCTTAATCGAGGGGTATTGGGCTCTCTGGGTTCAAGCTTCGGTTTCTGGGTTAAGGGGTATTAAGATCTTGAGGGGCTTGTGTGTGTGTGTGTCTTCGTAAGTGTTTACAAGGGTTCTTTGAAGAAAGGTATTCTTCACCGATACTTTTTTTATTTTGATTTTTACAGCCTTAACTTTTAATCGGTTGCTCTAAAGGGTTCTTTTAGGCACTCTGCAAGGCTTTGGTGGTATATGCAAGTATAGTTATATTGATAACGTTTAGATTTCTCAGAGCCCTATTGAGTCTGCTTTAAACCAGAGTCTGTTTAGGTATCGATTTCAACACTTGTATACAATTACGTTCAGTAATTCGCCTCGGCCCCGGCCGAAGCGGTCAGAGGTTCCTATTCGGATTCTCCTATTCCCCACCTCTTAATCCCCTCCCCAGTGACCCCACCCCCAAAATCCTGGCCACCGCGAAACGTGTCGATGAGTGTCAAGGTCCGGCGGTGAATTTTCGCCTTCTCCAGTGGATTTTGGCTTTCTGAGGCAGTCCCACCCATCGCTTCCCCTCCCCCTGTAGCGTCTTTATGTGCGTCTCAGGCTTGTTTTAGACGCTCTTTCGTTGGGATAGGCGGAGTAACGTGGTTGAAAAGGCTGTGATGCTTCCCTAATCCAAGACGCCCACGAAATCCACAGCCTCAACGGCCCATACTTAAGGCATCCCGCCGCTTGCGAGAGTCTTGGTATCCAGTGTTTCGGAATGACGACACCAAAATTCGTACTGATACTACCACTACTAATACTACTCACAATCATCCTGCTTCGTGTTGCTATGAACATTACTTTTACTATAAGTGCGATTCCAACTGTTACTTTTTTCCTACAAGAGCTTGCTGCAGATAGTAGCCACTCGCCGCATGCGCGTACAGCCGGGCCGAGGCGGACGACGCGCAGCGTTTCAAATTAGGTTCCATACTAAGCAGACAGAGAGAGAGAGAGAGAGAGAGAGAGAGAGAGAGAGAGATTGAAACCTGATATCCCGAAACGGCACCTAACAAAATCGGAAACAAGAAACGCCCAAACCCTATAGTACTCCGAAGACCTGGGAAGGATTGAACCTTGACTTCTGCCTTTTGGGGGGTTTAGGGGTTGGGTGTTTAGGAGTTTAGTCAGTTTAGTGTTAGGTTTTAAGGGTTCGAGCCCTCCACGCATGACTAGATTCTGCATTGTAAAGTCTTGAGTTTTGGAGAATCGAAGCTTTCAAGCCACAGTCTGCCCCGCTCCCAAATCCATCGGAGGCCTCAAAAGGTGGGATGAAGGTAGGTCGGATAAAGGATTCCTTATATAAGGGCTCTTACTTGGGAATATCTCACCTACCTTCACCCCACCTTCAGAGACCTTTGAATCCATCCCTTTGGATTCGTGGTCGCAAGCGCCAAAGAGACTTCAAGAACACCCGGGGTAAATTCACGGACATATCTCAAATCACACGCATGCTCCGATTGAGCTTCGGGCCTATTCCTCAATTACGATTGTTGTTGAGCTCCTGGTTGTCATAGTACTGTTATGGATAATCTTGTATGTACATTATCAGTGTGCTGTTTGAATCCCAGAGGCCTGGGAAAGGGCCTTCCGGCGCGGGTCGCGGGCTGCGGCTGCGAGGTGCAGCGGCGGGTTTCGCCTCCACTTAACGAGTCATGGGCCTTTGTAAGATTTTGTAAGCATAGCTTGGGTGCTGCCGCCACCCTGTAACAGTTCACATTAGTTAGGCGGTCATGTTAAGCCCCCCAAAAGCATGCCCTTTCCCGCGTTTCCGCACACATCAAGACGTCATGCTCCAAGATCAAGGCTATTCCCTTCAGCTGCGTTGCGGGTAAGGTCCAGAATCCCTTAACCTCAAACCCCTGAACCCTAAACCCACCCTAAGGCAATAAGGCAGAACCAAGTGCTGCGAAATTCGGGCTTCCTAGTGTCTTCGTCAAAATGAGCACCTAATTACGTAGGCTTATAGACACCGTGAACGGAACCGTTAAAGAATTATGAAAAGAGACCGCAAAAGCCCATATGGAACGTGGTCAGGCTTTAGCGATGCTTTGGCTGTGGGGATAGTCAGCAGGGTTATGAGTACCTGGAAAAGAGCTAGAAACAGGTTTAGGTCGACTTATATGCTATAACTGTAGGCGCTGTAGATGCAAAAGGCTATACTTGGGGCCTACGGTGCTCTAGGGCCCTTGATAGTTCTCACTTCCGCTGATGTGTACCTTCTACCTTTTTATCGGTGATTGGGCTGCCCTTAGAGGGATCTCCATAAACAAACGGTGTCTCATGGCCTTGTAAGAGTTCTTAACCCAAAGGGTCCAAAGTACTTTTATGGGGTATACTGCCCCAACTCTTAATAGTAATTCCTAATATAGGAACCCTACATTCTACCATAAAGGTACTTTGGACGCTTTGGGTAATCGTTTTGATCGAATATTCAAGTATCTCGCGTTAATTACAAGGACCTCCACCTCCCGAATAAATGCAGCGCATTTCGTGCGGAGCGGCACTTCATGGAAGCTGAGTCGCTGACAGTACGTAGCAGCATGTTCCCCCTACAGCCAAACCAGCCTCTAAAGTAAGAAATAGATTTCTACAGGGGGTTGCAGGCCTGGTACTGTCGTCAGTTGTGCCGTTCCGCCGCCGCAAGCTTTGTAACAATCCCCAAAAGAGGAGACCAAAACGTTCACATGCTTGACAAAGGCATCCTAAATACCCTGCCTACTGCCCTCAACTAAGTTCCTGAGTAGCCCCAGTATAATAAGAGTACATAGCCTTTTTAAAATAAGGGAACGGGAGCCCAAAAACAAAAAGGGGCAAAAGGGTACCACTGAGGAACCTAGTCAAGCCCAACCTCCGAACCGCAAAAAAAGCAATGGCCTTCTCTTTGGGCCTCTTGCTGACGCGCTTGACCTCCAGCACCACCGGAGATGAAATTTCCGATAGCATAAGGGGACTCCTTGAAGTTTTACAAGGCGTGATATGCAAAGGCCTCATAATGCATGATATATCTAGAATAGGGCTTTGTGCTATCCTCTACGACCCGTTTGGTAAAGAATGTATTAAGGAACCCGGAGGATTAATCTAGGTAATTCTGCAGCCTTCGGTACCATTATGTTTTGGGGTTTACGGCTCAGCGTTTGCCGGGGTCTAGGGTTTGGGCTTTACAATACAAGTAGTTTTTACGATGAGGAAAGGGACCTAGTAAGACTTCATAGAAACAACAACCACTGATGTCAAAACCTACCCACATGGGAAGAAGAGAGTCTGTCAGACGCTTGCAATGACCATGTCTGCTCTGATGAGGGCTTGACCACTCCACTGTAAGTAGCGAAGCAGGTGTTCGAACGAACGCCAATACACATATGATGACTGTCATTAATGTTTAGGGAGACACCAAGAACAGCCAACGGCAAATGACCAACGATGTGCATCCTCGGCTTGCGTTAGGCGCCCCTCTCCCAAGAGTGCGAAATTCTTCGAACCATGCCGGAGGCTTGATCCACTTGTCGTGCTGTGGTTCACATACAGTCACATTGCCGCGATAGCGAGTCACAGACTGCCCCCTAGCTTTGACCATGTTCCAAAAATACTTCAGCAGAGCACAAACTTTCTATGTTTTCACACAGAACAACCCGTTTCCCACCTTCCACAACTTCAGCCTGCATGCAACATGGGAGTTTCCGAAAATAGGGAACCCTAGTATAATACCCTAAATAGTAGGACCCTCATTATAGGGACCCCCAAAATAAGGTACCCTAACTTATGGAAACTCCCATACTTCACACCGTGCGCCAGGGTCCGCAACCAGGGAATTGGGGACTCGAAGCTCGACATGGGAGTTTCCGAAACTAGAGGACCCTAATATGCCCTTCAAGGGTTCCTTTAAGGGATCTATAGGGGTTCTATGAAAGGTTTACGGTTTAGAAATATGAGGGAGTTTCCGAAAAGGGGACCCCAATATAGTACCCTAAATAGTAGGATCCTTGTTATAAGGACCCCCAAATAAGGCACCCCCCCAATTTTCGGAAACTCCCACATTCTCGATTTGCAACCTGGGACATGGGATACGAATGACTAGTACTTCTGCTTTACCTGGCGTGGATGAATATATACTCAAGCCTCTGTACTAACCGAAATCTCAAGCAAGAAGGAAGTTAAGACTACAATATATATATATATATATATATATATATATATATATTTCTCAATTACGGGGCATTGAAGTCTCTGGTGCCTGGTGCATAAGGCTGTCCCTTGACTCAAAACCTAACCCCTGAACCCTAAACTCTAGACTCTACACCCTGATCCCTAAACCTAGAAACCCTGAAGCATTGAACCCTAATCGATAGTCCAAGTATGACGGACGATACCCAAACCGAATTCCGAAACATGGGCCCGGAAAGCCATAGATCCTGAGAGCCTGAGGGCCTGTCAAACCCCAGTGGGTTGAGGTTTAGGGTTTAGGGTTTAGGGTTTAGGGTTTAGGGAGGTTTAGGGTTTAGGGTTTATATGAACACCTCTGATAAATGCCACTTACGAATAACTTCATGAGCTCCGTTAAGTCCCGAAAGTCCTAAACCGCACCACCTTCGTCTTCGTTGGCGTCTTTTTGGCAGGCTGCCTCTCAGGCGACGCCTTCGGCAAAAATTCAACACGAAACGAACAACAACCGTTATTACTGATTTTACGTCTATATTACTGTTGTTCTTTATTTGCGGTCCCAGCCATTAGAATATGACTTTAAGGCATTTCTACAGGGGCTATTATGACGGTTTAGGGTTTAGGGTCTAGGGTTATGACTGTTCCTGGGTCGGGGGTTCGGGAACCCTGCGGACTAGTGCAACAAGAGGAGTGAGCGTTTGTAAGCCATGGCAGAGTTGAAGCTTTGAGCTTTTTCTTTCAAGTGTAGTTGTTTAGGGTTTAGGGTTTAGGGTTTAGGGTTTGGGGTTTAGGGTTTAGTGTTTTTTCAAGTGTAGTGTTAGTTAGTTTTTTGCGTTGAAAGGTTAGGGGGTTCGGGGTTTGGGGTTTAGGGCACTGAGCCATGAAGTTTAGAGGCACAATTAATGAGCCAGGCAGCCCGACAGTCTCTCTTTCAGGCTTTTCGTAGAACGCTGTTTTGTGAGCTCCAAAACCCAAAACCCTCAACCCTGAACCCTACACCCAATTGCAATAAGAGCCTTACAACAGAGTTTTGGGTTCCCTGGGTTTGGGCCTCGATTGGATTAAATAAAGAATAAATCCCCTGAAGCCTGAAACTCCACGCCACAATATAACGGCCTGAAGAATCAGAATAGGGCCTTGGGTTACGTTATACTGTACTTAAATGAAGAGCCGTAAGGGATACTGTTGACAAGTAAGGCTGATATATTGGCTTCCCCCAGCCCGCATCGCAGGTCCTCGCGATGCACCTTCCGCTCGGTGCTTTCATTCTCTTTCGCCTCCTCTTGGTGTTGGGCTTGGGCGCTCTTGACAAGGCTCTATATCAGTTCTAGAGTTTGTAGCACGATTTCGAATGCAGGCCCCTGATTACTGACACCACCCTGTCTTTACAGGCCACAACATTTGTGGGGTCCTTGCTATAATTTTTATAAAGGGGCAAGGGTTCATCAATGCATAAAGGTCCTCAACTGTGGTGCCATAGGGTCTTATTAATGCAAAATACAGCCTGAGCCCCCAAACCCTCAACCTAAAACCCCCAAACTCCTGAACCCTGAACCTCGCGGGTTTCCTTATGTGGGTGGTTGTTAAAATTATGCCCTTTTTGGGTCCCTAGCTTAATACGGCACCTATTATTTGGGGTGCCCAAAAAGTGACCTCAATTTTGAAAACTACTCATGTAGTGCGGGGGGGGGGGGGGGGGGGGGGGGGGGGGGGCTACAAAAAGCTTGTTGCGTGTTTCAGGTCTTGGAGCTCCAAAGGCCCGGGGTTAGGTTTTTTTTGCTTTTGAGGTTTAGGGTTTAGGGTTTAAGGTTCTTTTCTCCCATCCCTTGCGGTCTGCGAATAGGGTTTAGGGTGATAATGATAAGAATACTGGGATGCCCAGTAACCTAGGAATAAAAAGGGCTCCCTTCTTGGTAGTGGGTAACTTTATAAGGAACCCAGGACTACTAAAAGGGAATAAGCATACTACTGGGCATCCTAGAAGAGGAAAGTAGATCACCCCAGGAGCTCAAAAGCCAACCCAGGACAATTCCGACCGTAAGCCGCATAAGGGTTTACCGTTTAGGGCTAGCATTTAGGGTTTAAGCTTATGAGCTGTGGGAGCTAAAGTTCAAGGTCAGGAAAGAAAACTGCCGGAAGTATGGTAAGGATCCCTGCTCAGGGACTCTCAGCGAGATCTTTGTGTCCCTTGGGAGAGCCCGACCTCTCCAGATTGCCATAAGAGGGTGGTTATCTTCAAAGGCAGGATAGCTTACTTAGGGGTCCTCACTAGGGGGATCCTACTGAAAACCCTCTAGGTCCCCTCTCAAAACCCTTGTATTGGCCCTGATTTCCCATCTCCTGTGTGCTCCTAAGCCACGGTTTAATGGTGCAGTTTAGGGTTTATAGACCTCAAAACCGCAAACCCTGAACACCTCAAGTGCATAAACTCCTTTAAACCCTGAGCCCTAAAATCACTCAAGTCCCCAAAAACCCTAAGCCCTAAACCGCCGTAAGTCCCTAAAATAGGGGCCTCAATAATAGTCCCATTATACTTTAGTTCTACTCCGGAACCAAAAAAGTATAGGTAATTATGTAGGCCCCTATGTTAAACCCCTAAGCCGGAAATCCCTCAAGTCCCCAAACCCTACAAAAACCCGATGGACGGTCCTCCGAACAGCTTTTGTCGGCTTCCCGGGCCTCTCAAGTCAGTCTTGCAGTTGCAGCAGCTTCTTCGGAGAGCTAGTTGGTGTGTGTGTGTGTGTGTGGGTGGTGCGGCGAGTGGGTGGGTGGGTGGGTGGGTGGGTGGGTGGGTGGATGGGTGGGTGGGTGGGTGTTAGGCTTCAGGGTTTAGAGCTAGTTAGGGTGTAGGGCTTTACAGGGTTAACAGATTGGTGTTTAGGGGCTGTTGGGTGCAAGACTGCGAAAGTTGTAGTCTGCAGAATCTGGGTTCCACGTCATGCCTTTGTAGGAGCTGGCCCAAGGGTCCGAGTACCTAACAATCATACAATCTCGCAAATGTCAACCTACATAGCTACTATCCTAAACCCAAGTACCTGATTATTGGGTCCTTCGGACCCTTGGGGTAGTACATCAGCTGACCTGTCGGAATTACCCTGCACCAACCTTACACCTCGAACCCTGCACCTTAAACCCTAAACCCTGAACCCTAGACCGTTCGAAGCCTGTCCTCCGGTTTACTTGGAGGATCACGGGACTCAGTAAGTACGCAGGGTAAACAAGTAAGGCAACTTTTGTTCTATCTGCTTGCAACTCTAGTTGAAGTAACCCTTCTTAGTAATTCCCATGATCCTCCAAGTAGGGTTTAGGGTTCCGGAGCGACTGCCAAGACAAACTCCTGACATTCCACACTGTCTCCGCCTATCACAGATATAGATCCGAAACGTAACATGATACTTTGGAGTTTGTACGCATGAACAGAAAGCATGCCCAAACCATCTAAACCCCAGGCGCCCGAACCAACAAACCTAGACTGGTCTCTGAACACACGGGCCCAAACCCCACACCCTCGACCCAAGCACTACGCTAAACACTAAAACATTCACTCCTGAACGGTGCCTGAAAACTAAGTCTAAGTTCTTGAAGCGACCAAAACAAGCCAACAAAAGACCCTTTGACTCTTGAAGCGAGACCAAAACAAGCCAACAAATTTCCTTTTGACAACCAGATTCACTGAAATCCGCACGCTGTCAAGCCCAACAAAAAGCAATATCCCCAAACTAAGCACCCTGATTCCTAGAGACCCTAAACCCTAAACCCTATAACCCTAAACCCTAAATCCCAGAGACCTAAACCCTAGAGACACCTCCGCTTCGGCCATCGGCAAAGGCGACGGCGAGGAGGGCAAGGCGGGCCTCGAGCCGAGTCTGGGTTTAAAAAGGGTTTATAACAGTTCAGGGTTTAGGATTAGTTAAAGTTTAGGGACTTTGAGGATGTATGGTCTACGTGGGATTTCGGGGGTATATAGGGTTCTATGGTTTACATCGGATTTTGGGGGATCAGGGGTTCTAGCAGGTGTTGGGCTGGTCTTCTCTCCACTGTCTGGCTTTGCGCCTCTTTTCTTTGGGGATCAGGATAGGTATGGGGCTGGCGCCCAACTTGGATACTTGTCACTTGTCCGGTTCCTACGGGAGCTGAAGGTCAACTGCTCGGCGCATGCAGGGGCTTAGAGTTCAGAGTTTAGGGCACCCCCCCAAAAAAGGCTATCGGCTACTTACTTGACTACTGCGACTACGAAACTCGCTTGAGGAGCCAACCTGCTACCTCTCTTGTGTTTCCACTTCCTGCAGCTTCGGTTTAGGGTTGGAGAATCATGGGGCTTAGTAAGTAGGGTTATGAGTACCTTAATTGGGGTTCTAAGTAGATGTACAGTAACTATAGTTACCTTACTTATAACTTATAACTTATAACCCTACTCACTAAGTCCCCTGATGGTAGAAGCATCGGCGGCAATCGGTCCCCATCGTCAAACTCCACCGTAAATTAAGTTTGCTCTCACCGTGAGTTGAGCAGCGCTGGCCCCCTCCTCTTCGACCACATCTGCACGAGTGGCCCTTCCCATTTGGGTGGGGCCGGCACCCACCTTTCTCCCCTTTTCGTCTGTACACACATCATCTTAGCTTTTGCAGGGGCAATAGGCGGCTGCAGCTTTGGTGGGTGAGGCTGGGGAGGCTTTGGAGTATTCTCATGAAGAAGGTCCCAAAGCTGCTGAGCCGCCTCGCTCAGAGAGGCTAATGCAAGCCGTGCTAGTGGACATTGCCGGCCAAATCCTTGATGGACCCGGTTGACGATGAACCCATCTAGACACTAAGTCCGATGTATGAACCCTTAAGAGGACATGTAAGACCCCATCGAAGGCTTGTGTAAACCGCATAAACCCTACTTACTTGGCATCTCGCTGAATTCCCTGGCCCAAAAGGGCTAAGCTCAAAAACATGTAGGATGATACAAACCCCAAAGGGTTACTCTTGCAAGAATGACAAGTGCACCGGTGAAGAATGCCGGGATCAAGCCTCCAAGCCCCCAGAAGCCTTAACTGGGTTGGCCCTTGAAAGCCTCTAAAAAAAATTCGCAAATAGGGTCCTATCAAGCCCAATAAGGGAAAATGAAATGTCCCAAAGGCCTACCTAGTTAAGGTTGCCTACCCAGCTACTGAGAGATTGAGCTCGAGGTTTCGGGGTACAGCAGGCCAGGGTGAAGTGTTGAAGCCCTTGCAGGTCAGGGTTTAAGGTTTTAAAGCCTTGTGGGCTTATGCTATGGGTTTATGAAACTCCAAGCCCTAAAGCTTAAAGCCTCGTGGTCTTATGATATGGGTTTATGAGACCCTAAACCCAAAACCTTGTGGGTGTTGGCGATTCAAGGATTTTGGATGTCGGGTTTAAGGTTTATGGTGCTTCAAGGTTTCAGGGTTGAAAGGTGCAAGCTGTCGGGCTTAGGGTTTTAGATTCAACAGCCTAGGGCTCAGGGTTTTCAATTCAACATCCTAGGGTGTAGGGTTTTTGGATTCAAAATCCTAGGGCTTAGGGTTGTAGATTCAAGTTCCCGGGGTTTTGGGGTGTCGGGTTTGGGGAATTGGTCTATGCAATAAGGCTTAAGGCCACTGAGGCATCCGGCTGGAAAATGAAGCGCTCGTCGGTGGGATAAGCCAGCAACCTGCAGCTGTGGATTGTGTTACATAATTTTGGGAGGCTCGTAACAGCAAACTTTCAAAGTTGCTTTGACTATTGGGTAGACTGCTATTACTCTGACGATGATGATGGTAAAGAAGAAGATGATTGTGATGGTGGCTAGTACTATCTTTCTGGGTGCCGTCAACCGTAAGCTTCTAACAGCCAAAGAGTTGGTAAGCGTACAGTAGCAGGCACGAAGTTGGAACCCCATTATCCTTGTGCCTTTAAAGGTGAAGCATAAGGAATCCTAGCACTGTTGATTCCTGAGCCATGTTCCAACTTTCTGGGGATACCTTAAAACCTAAACCCTACACCTTAAACCCTGGACCCCAAACCATGTGAATGCGGCATTCATCCCGAAAGAAACGCGAATTCGGTCGAAGGGGCTCTGGGTTTGGGGGTTCCTTTAACGGTTCCTACGACGGTTGCTTAGGGTTTCGGGCATATATATATATATATATATAGTAAGGCTTTACCGGGGTTCTACTATGGTTTCTACTAGGCTTCTATGAGGGCTCTATGTGGGTTCTATTTAGGTTTTTCGGGTTGAGGTGTACGTACTTGAAGGATCTAGGGATGTACCAAGGACGATGAAACTCAGGGATACAAGCAGTCTTTCCTTTGGGGTTATTCTGCTGTGAGCTCTACTTACTGAGTTTCCTGCCCTGGTCCTTTAAATAGACTCTAAGCCCGAAGAGCCAACTAAGATGCTGCTGAATACCCCACCCTGAACCCCACCGGGCCCCTTCAAAGCTCCTCTAAAAGCAAAGGGTGCGGAAAGATTCGGGTTCAGGGTTTGGGTTTAGGAATCAAAACAAGATCTAACTTACAAACAGATTCATTAATTGCAGAGGTCCTAAACTCTGGACGAAGATCGTGGGTAGCAAGCCGCAAGAGAGGATGGTTTTAGATAACAACCCCGAAACCCTGAAAAGGAGATATTAGTTGGGAAATACTGAACCTCAAGCTTTGAAACTTTGAGCCCTCAGGGTTTAGGGGTTTAGGGTTTAAGGGCTTAGGGTTTAGGGGTTCAGGGTTTATCAAGAAAAGATCGCAGGTGGCACCCGTACGAGTGAGTCGGTCCTCGGTGTTTTCCGGAATCGGCCAGCATCTTTGGGAGTCCGAATATGCTTTCCTGAATTTTAGGGGTTTAGGGTTTAGGGGTCAGGGTCTCGGGTTTCGGGTCCATGGTTTAGGGGTGGCTTTCCTGACTTCGGGCTTTCTTGACACCCTCTTCTCTCCCTCCGCAAACCCCCAACACCCAATAAGAAAAACACAAGGGGTCCGTGCGGTGTTACATTCTGCGGAGGCTGGGTCGCCGGCCGCAAAGGCGTTGAAGGGTCCCAGCCAAGAGCCTGCGAACCCAGAGACTCCAATATCCCTTAATTAAGGAATTTACCTTCAATTGTAGTAGGATCCCTCATATGTTTTAAGGAATATTTCTTAATTAAGGGATTTTGGAGTCTCTGCGAACAGCGTTTAGAGGTTTAGGGTTACTGCCACAACTGCTTGAGGCGATTCTCTGTATATGTATGCATTCATACGAGAGAGATACAGAGAGAGTGAGAGAGAGAGAGAGGGAGAGAGAGAGAGGGAGAGAGAGAAAGGGGAAAAAGAGAGAGCGAGAGAGAGAGACAGAGAGAGAGAGTGAGAGAGAGAGAGAGGGAGAGGGAGAGAGAGAGGAGGGAGAGAGGAAGAATAGAGAGAGAGAGGGAGACAGAGAGAGAGAATTGAGAGAGAACCGGTAAAGGCTTTTCAAATTTCACGGGGCGTACAAGCCTTGGTACGATCTGTGAGACTTTGCTTTCATGCCATCATCACTCGAGATTGGTTTGAGGGCGTTTTGGCTTTCCTTGAGAGAGAGAGAGAGAGAGAGAGAGAGAGAGAGAGAGAGAGACTGTTTGAGCTGTATGCGGCTTTAAAATGCGGGTGTTGGCCCCCAGAGAATAGTTAGAGATTACATTGCGGTTTTGAAGGGTGTAGTCACGGCTCCGTAGAAGAACTCATGCATGATGCTATCGCCAAAACTCCCGTACATCACTCGTGGCTCTGTAGCTTGCGGGATCTCGCGATTACGGCGAGGAATCTTAAGGTTCAGAGGTGAAAGCTTTCGGATCCGGTGTAGGTAGAGCTTGAGGGTTTACGGACAAAGCTAGAACCCACACCTGAAGCCCAACATTGACGTTGAGGGCTTTGAACAGCCAGAAAGTTTAGGGTTTAGGGTCTAAGGTCTAGGGTAGAAATCACGGAATACGCTTGCCGAGCGCAAGGCTACTTGACAGTTTAGCTTTCGGGTCTCAAAGTTGCAAGGCTTGAGGTCTAGCGCTTTGGGGTTTCGACGTTTCGGGCTTACAGAGGGCCGAAGCATCGAACAAGTATAATGACCTCATATGCCAGCATGGCTTGTGGCTGCCACGGAGGAAAGCCTAATTCAAATATCCCAAACGTTTCTGTATATGCGTCATTTTTCCAGACTTTTCTCCTGCTGCTTCAATACCCAGGTCCGCGAGAGTTGAAATCCCGTATCCTACACCAAACAGACGTGCAACAAGCTTACAGTTTGCCCATTGACTCAAGTTTAAAGCCTGGACAAAAAACTTACACTCCTAAACTCCTAAACCCTAAACCCTGAGCCCTAAAGCAATGAACCCTAAAGCCCTGAACCCTGAAACCTAAACCCTGAGCCCTAAAGCAATGAACCCAAAAGCCCTGAACCCTGAGACCGTGAACCCTGAGACGCCTGGCCCTGAGCCCTATACTCTCAACTCTGAACCTTGGAACTGCCAGCCCTGCACCCTAAACTTCCTGGAACCCGACAACCCGTAAACCCAGAGACTCCAATATCCCTTAGTTAAGGAAAATTTCTTCAATTTTCTTCAATCATATAATATAAGGCATCCTATTATAATTTAAGGAATATTCCTTACTTAAGGGATATTGGAGTCTCTGGGAACCCTAACACCCTGCAGCCCAAAGTCCCAAACCCTCGAGTGGTCTTAGGGGGTCCTCGGGTTGGTAGCCTAAGTCTAGAGTTGTAAGTATCAGAACCCAAGTAAGGTGCCTTGTCAAGGATTATGTATGCTTTACTTTAGGTTCTTAAGTCATTTAAGGTATATCATTGTATGACTAACATAGCTATTACGGACCTACTGAGTGAATCCCCCAACCCTTCAAGATAGAGGCCTCCGGATTGTCTGTGTCCAATGGCATCCAGCTGTCCTTGGCAAACCTTGGGAGCTTGAGGTTTAAGGTTTAGGGTTTTTGTTGAGGTATGGAATTGGTTGGTTAGGGTTTTAGTTTTTTTCCTTCAGCTTACGCTTGCGGGTTCGGGGTTTAAGGCTTGAAGGAGATTCAAAGAGCCCCATACCCCCTTAACTAAGGAATATAGCTTAAATCATAGTATGAAGCCCGACATAATTCGAGCCATATTCCTTAATTAAGGGGTATTGGGCTCTCTGGGTTGGGATATAGAACTGGGGTTCAGGCTGCTAAAGTTTCGTGGTCATGGGGTGTAGAGTCTTCAGTTTTTTCTTGCAAGGATCGGAGGAACCCCCTCTGCAGGATTCCGGCAAGAAGCCTTTGGGCTCTTTGATGGTCCCCAAAATCGGCTGAATGCAGGAATATACACTGAATTACAAGTGGGGGTGGAGGGCAATCCGTATAATGATTTAAGGCACGATCCTAAAGATTCCTAAAGTAAGGGGTTTCGGAGTCTTTGGGTTGTCCGCAAACCCTTGTTTCAGGATTTCCTTCTTCTGATGTCATCGTCTTCGTCCTCTACTAGGCAGGCCAGGGTTCAGGTAGGGTCTACGTTAAACTAACACAGCCTCGCTGTTGCTTGCAGGCCGCTGCTATGTTTTTATGAACGCCTGAACGAAGGCAGAAAATCCCTCCCGCAACCCATCCGAGAATGCAAGCTACTCAAACGTGCTCAAACCATGGCCTAGTGCCCGCAGACCCCAAAGCTTGAACACGCAACCTACACCCTACACCCAAACCTAAACCCTACATTCTAGACTTTTATGGCCCTGATGTCTAAACCCTTAACCCTAGACCCAAAATCCTGCACCGCAAAAAACCGAAACCCCGCAACCTTACACTCCAGAAGAAGTCTCAGCAAGCCTGTAGGATCTTGAATGCCCACCTGCAAAAAAAAAACTAAACCCAAAGCCCTAAACCCAAAACCCTAAAACCCTAAACCCTTAAGTGTCCTTGCTCGGCTTCTTGAGGCTTGCTGCTGTTACGTCAGTGTAGAACTGGACCCTGCAGGTTGCGGCTTCTGGGCCTTCAAGGACACGACGAGGTCGACTTCCACAAAAGCTAGACCCAAGAGTAACCCAGGCATAAAAAGGATGCCCTTTTTAGTTTAAAGGGGTTTATAAGGGAACCTGAACCCTAAAAAAGGGAATAAGGGCCTACTCTAGATCCTAGAAAGTGAAACGAGCATGGCCTCTGCGGCCGCAAAGTATATGAGCGAGGGTGTTTCTCACTACGCTCCCCATAGCAGCACCCAAAACGAGCAGTCACCAGGATCCTAATTAATGAGTTGCCCTACCCAGAGACTCCAAAACCCCTTAATTAAGGAATATACCTTAGATCATATAAGGGATCCTATTCTATTTTAAGTTATATTCCTTAATTAAGGAGTTTTGGAGTCTCTGGGTATATACACTCACCGAAATCCTGATCTAAACTGTACCCCACATGCTGTAGTGAACAAATCTCACACCCAGAAAGCGAAAACTGCACTGGAAGACTCTATAGACTCTATACCCTAAACTCTCATAGGAGGCCAAAAGGGGTTTTAGCCTATGGGGATTTAGTAGGGATTATAGGGTTCCCATAATGGGGTTCATATTAAGGAATCCCTGCCCCAAGAATCTTAAAACCCCCTTTTGGCCTCCCATCAAACTGTAGCTGAAACTCTATTCCCAGAGCCTAAAAACCCCTTAATTAAGGAATATACCTTAAATCATATAAGGGATCCCATTATACACCACTATTTTGAGGTATATTCCTTAATTAAGGGGTTTTGCAGGCTCTGGGTTGGACTTGCTGCGAACTGGGACCGAAGCAGATCAAACGCGAGCGCACCCTCCGGAATTCCGGGATGCCTGTCGGCTTCATCTGGGTGGTTGTCAAAATTATGGGTTTTGGGTTTTGGGTTTAGGGTTTAGGGGTTTAGGGGTTTAGGGTTGTCAAAGTGATGGTCCCTTTTTGGGTCCCTATTATAATACGGCACCTCCTACTTAGGGTACCCAAAAAGGGACCCGAATTTTGACAACTACCCATCTATGTTTGAAGATATTCATGCACAGCTGTGGCAATACTTAATACAGTGCAAGCTGCATAATATTGTATTCAGAAACATGACCACATGACCACATCGCCACCACCACCACCACCACCACCACCACCACCAGCAGGAGCAGCAGGAGCAGCAGGAGCAACAAAAACAGCAACAGCAACAGCAGCAGCAGCAAGAGCAACAGCAAGAGTGAGAGCAGGAGCATCAGCAAGAGCAGCAGCAGCACCACCACCAGCAGCGGCACCACAAGCACCAGCTACAGCAGCAGCATCAACGACCACCAAAACAATAACCGCAATCACAACCACAACTACCACCACAACCAACACCACAACGACAGCGACAATAGCAGTAGTAGTAGTACTACTAGTAGTAGTAGTAGTAGTAGTAGTAGTAGTAGTAGTAGAAGTAGTAGTAGTAGTCGTCGTCGTCGTCGTCGTCGTAGTAGTCGTAGTCGTAGTCGTAGTAGTAGTAGTAGTAGTAGTCGTCGTCGTCGTCGTCGTCGTCGTCGCAGCAACATCAACAAGAATAACAGCAGCAACAGCGACAGCTGCGGCGAGGGCAACGGCAAGTACATCAACAGCATCGACCATGACAATGATCGACGAATGTAGTTTCAAGGGTGCGGAAAATGAGCACCCCGAGGCCCCCTGAAGCTGTCAAACCCTTTCGAAACAAACACCACCTCTGCTACAGTAGAAGCCAGAAAGTTGGAACATGGCTTTAGGAGGATTAGTGCTAGGATCCCTTATACTTTACCTTACGGGCATGAGGATAATGATGTTCCACCTTTCTGGCTTCTACAATAAATGGTATTCAGAGATATCCCTTCCTTGAAGGTTACTGGGCCCTCTGTGGGAAAAGTCGGGGCTTGTCACATCCCCAACCCTGCAACTAGGTCCAATGCTCCGCGAGCCACTTCTCGGCGATCGAACGCCTGTTGACGAGAAATATAGGGGACTTTACAAGCGCAAGAGGGCTTTGCGGTGTGTGATACCATAGTATACTAACAAGTTAACCCTTCAGGGGCAGGAGGCCAAGAAGGAATGTCTTCTGACTGACTCAGGGACAGATCCAGGACATGAGACAAAGTGTAGTGAGGGGGAGATTTTAACAATGGATATCCTCACAGCAAACGCCGATATGTGGCATATACGCACTCACCGGTTTTCCTCTGGACCCGGTACACTCTCATCAAACCTCTAACATAAACCGTACCCCGTACCCTACATCGCCCAATCGAGTTGTATTGGTCTCTCTCGTGCTACTTTGAACTTCATAGAGGTGATAGGATGTGGGAAGCAACCCTACCTGAACCGCTAGACCTTAAACCCTAAACTTTACATGTAGACACAGTCCTTTGTTTCTTCAATATGCAGGTGCCTCGGAGTGTTGGGTTGGGGGCGGGTTATGGGTGTATGGGGTTTGGGATTTCGATTCGGGGCTTCGGGGTTTAGGGTTTGGGGTGTTGGATTTGTGGTTCTGTGCCTGGAAATCGGGCCGACAAATCAACGACGAACACGCATGAGCCACGTTTTGCCTGCAATTCTTGACGATGCCTCGGTCATTCGCCTTGAAGAAACAAGAAAGCCCTCTGTTCGTAAATCAAGGGTACTTAATGGGTACAAGGTTTCGACGATACTAGGGTCGCTTTCTTACGAAACTCTGGTGCCTCTAAACCCGAAACCCTATACCCTAATCCCTAACTCTGGTGCTCTGGTGCCCCTAAACCCTAGACCCTGCAACCTAAGCCCTTAACCCTGATGCCCCAAGCCCGACCTCCCCAAACCCACCACCTCAAAAGCCCTACTTGGAGGAGCATGGGACTAATAAGTAGGGTTATAAGTACCCTGACTAAGCTTTAGGTAGAGATAGCTGTACTAACCTTTCTTATAACCCTGCTTACTAAGTCCCTTGATCCCTTAAGTAAGCCCTTTCGCGTTTTTGTTCGCAAGTCTTCCTCTCATGCTTGGCAGTGACTGTCTCCCTGAGGCTGCTCATGGCTCGGCCACAGGTTTAGGGTCTTAGGGTCTTGGGATTCCGTGAAAGCGATATATATATATATATATATATATATATGTATATATATATATATAAGGGTTTTAGGGTTAAGCTTTAGGGTCTTAAAGGCTTAAGGCTTCAGAGGCTTCGATGTTGGGGTTTAGGGGTTTACGTTTTAGTCAAAAACAAACGCAAGAACCTGCAGGGGCCTTAATGGGTTCCGGTACGGGGTTCTTGCAAACGGTGACACAAAGTCAAGGCATTTTGCAGGAACAATAATTAGACCAGGGTTTTGGGGAAAGTTTCGGGAACATGACAGCAGTACTGTACAGGGACTACAAGTGGTTACTCTTAAGTATGCCGACCTGTATGTTGGGGGTATATGGTTGCTTAGGGCCTCAATGGTGAGAACAGCGTTCCTGCAAAGGGTTCCTGTAAGGATTCTTTCAGGCTTATTTCAAGAGTTTAGGGAATACGGGGGCCTTAATGACTCGAAGAGGCTTTTAGGGGTGTGTTGTTCTCCGTTTGAGGGCGTGGCATTTGTAATACTTCTCACCGTAGGTTAGTACGGATTTTAAACTGGCTTTACAGCCCGTCCTCGTTTCTGTACAAGTACACTGCCACAATGCTGTAAGCTCTCTCTCGAGTTTCAAAAGGATGGGAATCAATTACATGCTTTCGGGGCAAGGGGCTACGGCTTTAGGTTTCAAGATGTAGCGATTACCTATAGTCTCCATTGTAGTTCCTTTTTTTGGTTTAACCAGTTTTATGGTTAGGACCCTATAAAAGAGATTTTGGTTAACCAAAAAAAGGAACTACAATAGAGACTGTAGGTACAGGCCGAAGGACAAGCAAGGGGCTTCGAGCTAAGAGCAATAGATAGATCCACAGAGTATACGCGCAGACATACCGGAACCGCAGAACCTACCTCACCGTAGCTTCCCTGAGTTGTACACCACAAGTATGGATCTTGAAGCCTGCTAGCTGGCTAGAGTGATAATATAGGGGCCTGACTAGGGCTATAGGGTTCAGGGTTTATGGCTTAGGCCGCTGGGTCTATATTTTTATATATGTGTATATATATATATGTATACATATATATATATATATATATATATGGGTATACTATGCCGTACTTACCATCAGGGATTTAAGGAACCCTATTGACAAACATTTCGGCTTCTATATTATGGGCTTCTGCTGCGAGGTCGTTATCCTCCATTGATGCATTATTACGAATATCCCCTAAACCCCACGCCACAACTTGGAGAGCAGCAACATTCCAGAACGACTTCTGTGGCTTGGGGTGTCAAGATCTTGAATGATTAACAGTAGAAGCCCAAAAGTTGGAAACCCAATAGCCTCAATCCTTAAGAGTACTGTATAAGGAATCTCGGCACTATTTGGCCTTAATCCGGTCTCCGACTCTATGGGGTTTACTGTAGGGGGAACCGCATGCCCGGCGTGGCACCGAGCCCAGAGCTTCCAAGTGAGGAGGATGGGTCGTTGCCGCATCAGTCTGAAACCTACCCCGAAGGGTCCAACGTACCTCATGGTTGGATATACCTGGTTTACAGTGTACTGTGTACTGAGTATATGATTGGTTATCAAGCACCCTAAACCCTGAACCCCTAAACCAGGGGCCCTAAACCCTAACTAAACCCTAAACCCGTAAGTAAGCCCCAAGCCCCCAGACCTTCCAAAATCCCTTAATTAAGGAATATACCTTAAATCATATTGGGGACCCTACTATAATTTAAGGTATATTCCTTGATTAAGGGATTTTGGAAGGTCTGGGCCCTACGCCCTCAGCCCTAAGGCCCCCAACCCCTGGTAGGTACTTGGACCCTTCGGGTGCATTGCTTAATCCGTCTCTTTCAGAGACGGCTGCTCCATCTGCTCAAGTGTACTGGGTTCTGGAGTCCTCTGAGAAACGCCCCTCGTAGAAACCCGGATTCTTCCGAAAATAACAACCCTAACTCAGCGTCCCGGCATCTACAAGGTGTACTGTTTGTTATTGCTCCCTGGAGCATCGCACTCCTGAACCCTAAAACCCTGACAGAACTCGTCTAGAACACCTGTCGAACTCTTAGAGGGCCTTGATCGATCCTGTGTAAAGCCGTAACAGAGTTCCCTGACTGAACCCTACGTCAGGCCAGATCCCAGTAGAAATCAATCGGCAGAGCCTGACAGCGACAGCGGACCAACAGTACGTCACCCGATGTCATACGATCTAGGCTGCTTGAAATGAGGGCTGTCCCAGATTATGGTCCCTGTTGTAGAGGTCCTAAGGTTAGGCTTCAGGTTTAGGAATCTGTTTTTGACAGGGCATTTGCTGTATTGCTCGAGTTTAGGCTTTCCTGATGCTTCTTTGCTGCTTTAATATATGAGTCGCCCACGATGATATGAGGTATAGGGACCATAATAACGCAAGTTTGATCAAAGCCCCCTTTTGGCGGCGGTAGTCCAAGTACAGCGGCACAAACTGCTTGGAAAGGTCGAGGCAGGAACATGGTCCACACAAAACCGAATATGGCAAGGGCGTTGATGTTTAAGGGTTTAGGGCTGTGGCTAAGGTCTTCAGGTTTATGGCAGACTAAACCCTAAGCCCTAAATCCCTAAACCCTAAACCCTAAACCCTAAGCCCTAAATGCAGTCATGAGCTCTGAGCTGAGCTGAGACTCCCGGATATAAGATTCAGGCTTCGGGTCAATTGGGCTGCCCGGCATTGAAATCCCTAAAGCCCAACGCTACCAGACCCTAAAGGGAACTCCAGAAAGTTGGAATATGGTTTCAGGGCAGGATACCTTATAATTTACCATAAAGGGTTTAGGATAATCATATTCCAACTTTCTGGCTTTTACTTTAAACCCTAAACCCTACAGCCGAAACCCTAAACCCGGCCCTACACCCGAAACGCACATGGAGATTGGTTCGCGCCCTAAGCGTTTTGAACTCCGCCGCACCCTAACCCGAAGCCCTTATACACAAATGCTATATATATATATATATATATATATATATATATGTATGTATGTATATATATATATATATATATATATATATATATATCTACACACATACACACATAGTACGCATTCACGCATAATATGTATGTGCACATATATGATATGTATATATATATATACATACAAACATGTCAAAAAATATAAATAAACAACAAACGGAAACGATGCATGCATACGATTTTGCACCTTGACCGGAACATTCACACCCCGTGACCCTGGCTCTAGCTCTTAATCCAAAGCCTCATCCTAAACCCTATAAAACCCTAAACCCTATGAGATCCTATGAGCCCTAAACCCTGTAAACCCCAAACTCTATGAATCATAAACCCTAAACCCTATGAGGCCTAGAAACCCTAAACCCGAAACCCTAAACCAACAACGGAACCCTAGACCCTCACGCAGAACCCGTAGGCTTCTGAATGCCTCGACCTCCAAGCACAAGACCAAGTAGACAGCCACTCGGGCTGACAGCTACGGTTTAGGGTTTAGGGTTTAGGGTTTAGGGTTTAGGGTTTAGGGTTTAGGGTTGCAATTTGTCAGTTTAGGGTTAAGGGTCTAGGGTTTAGGATTTGATGCTGTCGGCCATACATGTCCTGTTCTTCTGGCAACGAGTCGTTGTGGCGGTGGTGGCATTGGGAGTTAGGCTTGAGGAAACCCGTAAACTTAATGTAGGGGCCTTAATAATTAGAATTGGGCTTTGGGGCCCATTATACTATAATCCTAATAAGGAACCCCCAAAAAAGTTTGGGTCATGATTTAGGCCGCTAAACTGGACCCTAAACCGTACAATTTGAGCTTGGCTGTCTTTGGGATGTGCTGCTGGCTTTGTTGCGCTTGGAGCTCCATCCTTTAGGGTTTACGGTTTACCCAAAGGCCCCAAAGCAGTTCCTTTTTGGGGGTTCATATA